GAAAAGTTTGCAACAATATTTTTAATGGGAATGAGGTCTATTTGTGGATAAAAATAAGCCTCAAAAATTAAAAGGAAGACAGTCTATTTTCCAGACAAGTAACTATCTACCTATATCTATATCTATATCTATATCTGTATCTGTATCTATATATCTGGGATGCAACTACATTTCAATGTAGTCTTCTCGGCTAATCTACTAGAAAATGTCTTGGTTGAAGTACAGAATCTCTGTTAAAAGTGTTACTGAAATTTGGAAGCCTATTTATGAAAAGTTAGATACTAGACTAAAGGGCTTATTTTATTTGTTAATAAAGTCTAACTGAGAGTCTTTTTCATAATTGTAGAACTATCTTAGTAGATGACTGTAAAGTATATAGGAAGGAGAGGTCAGTCGCAGTTTGGAGATCTATATGATATATTCTGAGTGTTTGATGAAAGAAACCATGTCATATTCAACTTTCTATGACCAGATCTCTACATAGGACTATAAATATATAAATATAGCTAGTGGCTATAGAGGTGAAAACATGAAAATGCAATGGAGGAATACTTGGCAACAGTCCATGATGAATAAACAAGAAAAATAGGAGTTAGACAGTAGTGTAAGTTTAAGAGACTGGAAAAGGGAAAATTATAATATAATTGAAGAGCAAATAACTCAGCTTCAGCCTTGAGAGATGAATGTCTTTGGTGGGTGAGCAGGAAGAAAGCAAGGAATAGAGACAAGTAAGATAAATAAGAAGAGAAAACTTGAGTAATCCCTGGTGTGTGTGTTAAAGAACAGCAGACTAGTAGTCATTTTGGAGAAAAAGCCCATAGAATAAAGTAAGAAAATTCCATTAAACTTCCTCTTTAAGAGCCCATTAATTATCTAACAGAGAGCAGTGAAAGAACAGAAGCACTTATTATTCTCTTTGACATTTCAAGGATGAGTGACATTATATGGTGTAGCTGAAGAAGGGTCAAGGCCAAGCAAAAGTTTTTCTCGAGACGTTACCTCCATTAGTAAAACGGTTGAAAAGAAACAGTGATTCAGTTTTAAGAGAAGGAGAGAATCAGAGAAACATCAGTGGACCTTCTGAGTAGAAAGTTTATTAAAATGACCCTTTTGATGAGTTGGATGAATATGGGAAATAAGTAATATCTTGTTTTCTGGCTGGTTCTCATTGTAGAGTTTAAGTTTTTTGTCTTCTTCCCATTTGACATGGTAGAAGGTTATAAGGACTAAGTGATATTTTTGTGAGTCTAGGTTATATATTCAATAATGGTGAATATTTCTCTTCTATTATTACTTATTCAATAGTGTTAAAATGAATAGTAACTTACCCACATCCACTAGAAAAAAAAAGTAAAACTCAAGACATATCAATAAAACCATTTAGTACTTAGAGGACTGTATTAAAACTACAAACTTTGTATGCAAAAGTTATCTTGGCATATCACAATAAGACAAATATCTACATAGTACCTCAGGAATTGTACACAAATGCTAACAAATGTCTTCCAGGAGAGAAAACCAAAGAATAAATTTTGTCAGTGGCACACAGAATACCCTTTATTTATAGCTCTTTTTAAAAAAAAAAATTCTAGATCATGCTGGTTGTGCATCTCCTGCGGTATATGGATTTTTTTGTATTTCATCAGTACCAGTGTGTCCTATGTCGATATTCATTCAGCTATGTCAGTTTTCAAGTTGTTCACAAGGAGAAAACTATGAGCAAAGAATTCCTACATTTTTAAAAAATGTAAGTTAAATAGTCTTGTTTTGAAACTAAACATGAAGCTAGAGGCTATGTAGTTATCTCCAAATCATAGGGCAACAGAGACTATTTATTCCTAAAAAGAAATAGCCTCATTTTTGTAGTTTGTGTTATGCCGTGATTCATCTATTTTTCAAGTTAATAATGGTACAAAGCTATTCAAAAGAATTCCAGATCAACATGAATAGTATTATAAATCCAGGCAGGAGTTCAGAGGTTCCTACAAGAGATATCTATAATTACTGCTTAGACTGCCAAGAGCACAATAAAAGAAACTACAACTGAATAGCAGACATAAAACTCATATTAGCCTCATGGAATATACACAGATTAAATTCTGAAATTCAATTAATTCAAGGTTAAAGCTACATCCACGTTTGAGAAAATTGTGAAGTGAGGCTCTTTCTTATTTTGTACATCATTGAACACTATACTGGACTGTTAAAATATTACACTTAGTATAGCACACCATAGCCTGTGAAAGATATGAAAGCATGATTTTTGTTAATGCTTTATTATTTTTAAAAAGAGGAGTCCTAAATATGAAATAGTCAATCCCTTAAAAATGTGCCGAGTGGAAAGCAAAAAAAATCACTGCAAGTCCCACCACCCACAATAAACCTACTTCCACTTCAGCATCTCAGTGGCTGCGTACTATTCCATTTTTATATTTGTACTGTTTTTCACTTAAACCAATTCCTGTTGATGGCATAGCTATATATAAATTTTTTGCTATTATGAAAATAGTCAAGGATAGCCTCTGCCTATATCCCATTTGTGGTATTTTTTCCTGAGATATCTCAAAATAGTGATGACTGAACTTTTTGTATCTTGGTGAATCTTTCAAAGTTTCTCACTGAGAGATTTTACCCATTTAAAGTCTCTTCACTATACATGAGCATGTTCATTTCCATGAGGACTTTGACAAGGTTTGGCAAATTTTTAATCCTTTTTTCACACAGAGTCTTTCTACTGTTTTTTTTTTTTTAATATTTTATTTTCCTGTTTGGATTTATTTTCAAATGCTTGCTGGTAGTTGTGTTTCTTAACAAATTATCTTTAGCTTCAGCTCTCGGCTGAAGTCAATACCTACTGATGTTTATTAGTACAGGCAGCTTATTTATTGGAATCCAGATGTCTATGGCACTGATTCACTCATTCAACAAGCTTTCATCAAGCAACTAGCACATGCCAAATACTGAATAGATATGAAGAATTCATCATAAAGTAAAAGAGAGCCCTGGCTGTTGTTTTCAGAGAATAAGAAAGGTGACAGGAGCAATAAAAGTAATAGCAAGCAATAGGGATTGACACGTATATACTATTGGTACTATGTACAAAATGGATATAACTAGCAAGAACCTATGTACAGAGAAGGGAGCTCGACTCCAAGTTCCCTGATGACCTACTGGAAGAAAATTCAACGCGGAGCAGATATAGGTGCACGGATAGTGACTCACTTTGCCGAACAGAAGAAAGTGACACAACATTATAAAGCAACTGTACTCCAGTATAATTTGATTAAAAATTAAAATAAGAAACTTTAAAATACCAGTTAACAAATTCTAGGTACTGGCGTGATTTGGAAGAGGCTAGGGCAATAGAGAAGGGAGAGTGTGTCAACAATGGATCGAGTTGTCATAAAATTAAAAGACTGAGGACATGGAGCTCAAACATGACTCATGAGGAGGAGTCAGTCCCTGAAGGTCTGGGAGAAGATCACGGCAGGCAGCAGGAATGCAGAGCCCTGTGGTCCTGGCGAAAAGCACAAGTCTTATTCTTACTGTAATGGGAAGACACTGCAGGCTTTTTGTCGTTTCTTTCTTTAATTTTTTTGAAGTAGTAGATATCTGTCTATTTTATGTTGTCAGTTGACACAGCCATCCGTGTCCGTGGGATATCACTGGATGGTAATGTTCTTGGCTATGTCTGAACAGTGTTGTTTTAGCAATAGAAACAGAACAGAAATTAAATCTTACATGGGCTTGTTTACATGTTTTTGAAGACTTCTTTGAGTGGCCTTTTATTGTCAAATGAGAGAATGATGTATGTAATAGAATGCTAAAATTGAAAAACATTGACTTAGTTTCAGCAAACAAAAGAAAAATAAATGGATATCAGGTATGACTGCATTGCAACATAATTAAATGTAAGGAATTAGGTCATTTGTGGAGAATTTGGAAAAGAGGAGCCCCAACTAGTCTCTTCTTTGTTTAAACTTTTGACTCTAACTTATCATAAGTGAGTATTTACAGAGCTGGAGAAACCAGAAAACAAAGCTCTTACTGCACAGAATTTCTTTTCTTCTTTCCTTCTTTCATAAATTCTTATATTTATGTTATTGCTGTATTCAAATATAGTATTGAAAGTTATTTAATAAGACAAGCAAGAATGGCAAAGGGAATATTATATTTCTCCCATGAAAAGATCACCACTATCTGTACCTTGATATATATATCATGTTACATATATTCTTCCCCATATGTATGCAATTTTTAGTTTATGTAAGATCATATTGCATATTGTATTTTGTACTTCTTTTCAGTCACACTCCAGCTTTCCATTTTGATACACTTATTTCATTTAAAGTCTACACCATGTTCAAATGTCTTCATTTACCACAGAAATGTCTTTTATATCTGGTTTGTTCAAACACTGTTGAACTAGAGCGCCCATTTTTTCTAGGTGTTAAATCTGTGTCAGTGGTTCCATCCTGTATATGCTATTGTTGTTTTTCAGTTGCTCAGTCATGTCTAACTCTTTATGACCCCATGGACTGCAGCATGCCAGACTTTCCTGTCCTTCACTATCTCCCAGAACTTGCTCAGGCTCATGTCCATGGAGCTGATGATGCCATCCAACCATCTCATCCTCTGTCACCCCCTTCACCTCCTGCCCTCAATCTTTCCCAGCATCAGGGTATTTTCCAATGAACTGGCTCTTCCCATCAGGTGGCCAAAGTATTGAAGCTTCAGCTTCAATATTTTTATATATATATATATATATACACACACACACACACACACACATATGTATTTATATTATATATATACATATATACACTATGTATATATGTATGTAACATATATAATATATACAATAGTATATATTATATAATATATATAAACATACTATATACATAAAATATACATATATATAATGGGGTTATGTATACAATTTACATTGTACTAATAGGATTACAATATAAAATATATGTATATATCACTAACTTGTCAAAGAGTATAGGCCTTTGCATAATGTGGTGAAATAATCTCTTTTGATGGAGCTGTTTAAGTGTTGTATCGCAACCTCTCTCCTTACGACACAGGGAGAAACGTGATTTCCTCATTCCTTTGCCTCGAGTCTGGAGAGGTCCAGTCCAGAATCAATATGCATTTCTTGGAGTTTGTGGGTGCAGTGAAATGGCATTTGAATTATGCTTGGGAATATTCCAAACTATGAGATTAACCAACTAGCCGCCTTGTAACTGCAGAGGAAAGACGGCAGAAGTGAGTGTAGTGTGCGTCGTTTGCGGTGGTGGGTCCAAGGGGCGAACTTGTCTCCATAGCAGCTGTAGAACCTATGATGAGATTGAGGGGTGCCAGTGGGCTAAGGGGAGGGTCAGTCATAGGAGACGCAGTGTCCACACCGTGGGAAGCACAGTTGCATGTTTCCGGTAGATTTCCGAGGAGTCAACATCAAATGTTCACTTGTAGCACATCATAACATTATACTCAGGTAATATTTTTCTGTACTTTACATATCCTTTCCACCCCAATCCCGGTGGGAATGGCCAAGGTTTGAAAGAGGGAGGGAGCTGGCATTTCACATTCATCTCTGCAGAGTTTCTGTCTGAATGAAATCAGCAAGAAGGAAGCTTTGCTGATAATGAAATTCAGGGTTTTCATTATTATAGATTAATTACAGGAATCATACAGCTTGTGTGACTTCAGTTCTGAGAATGATTTGTTATCTAGCGGGTGACCAGAATTGCAAATGAACCTACTTGAGATACTTCATCATGAAGGTTTAAAGGGCTGGTGAGAGGAATTAAGGATTTCCTTGTGGTTGTCCCCAACTATATGCATCCCACTTGTTCAAAGGCCTACTTATGGACAATCGTTGCTTCATTCTTAGAAAAATAATGAGAAAATTGGATGTGTTCCATTAGATCTCTTGGCATTTTATATGGGTGTATCCCCTTGTGGTAAATGTCTCCTTGGAGAGTGAGCTTCTTAACTGAAACTATTAATTTTTACTGTCATCATGCAAGCTGATATTTATACAGCACTCAACAGTTTATAAGGCAGTCTCATATTCGCTACATTTATTACCACACTTTTACTATGTGCTCTCCCACTTTCCTGAGTTACAACTCTATTAAACGGAATTCTCTGTGTCTTCAATGAACCTCGTTATGTTGCCTTTAAAGTCACATGATTGTATGTTTCTGTCACCACAAAGTGACAACACTTTTGTGACCCCATGGAGTGTAGCCCACCAGGTTCCTCTGTCCATGGGATTTCCCAGGCAAGAGTACTGGAGCGGCTTGCTATTTCCTATTCCGGGGGGTCATCCTTATCCAGGATAGAACCTGTGTCTCTTTCGTCTCCTACACTGAGCCACCTGGGAAGCCCTATGATTGTGTCGAGTTTCCAAAATTAAAGCCACGTCATCACATATTTTTAGGAGCGAAAAAGAGGCCATCAGATCCTAGAATATTTCACCTGGGTATTTGGAAATCAGACTCTTCCATGAGATGGAGGTCTTTTGGCCATTAACAAAGAGGGAAAAATCACTAGAATAAAAGGAAAAAAAAAAAGAAACAGACAAATGGCAAAAGCTTTCGTAGACCGTAAGACATTTTCTTAGTGGAACCTTCAGCTTCTTCTAGTCTGCTCAGCAGATCACACAAGCGGCACTCTGAAAATGAAGATCAATGAAATGAAGAAAGAAGGGAAATTGATAATTAGCAGATTTCAATAAGAAACATAGGCAGGAGGAGGAGGGGACGACAGGGGGCAGGAGGAGAGGAGAAGAGGACGAGATGGTTGAATGGCATCACCGAAGCGATCGACCTGAGTTTGAGCAGGCTCTGGGACTTGGTGATGGACAGGGAAGCCTGGCGTGCTGCAGTCCATGGGGTCGCAAAGACTCAGACATGACTGAGTGACTGAACTGAGCGGAATATTCATAGAACAGCAGTTCACATTAGACATGTAACAATTATGACATGCTAAGAATTCTATAAGAAGTAAAGCAACACTCAAAAATTCTATCTTTAAACAAATGACAAAGGATATGCTATTGTCACTGTTAGTGACAGCTTTCCTCTATTTCTTTGCACTGATCACTGAGGAAGGCTTTCTTATCTCTCCTTGCTATTCTTTGAACTCTTCATTCAGATAAATGTATCTTCTTTGCCTTTCACTTCTCTTTTTTTCTCAGCTATTTGTAAGACCTCCTCAGACAAACGTTTTGCCTGTTTGCATTTCTTTTTCTTGGTAATGGTTTTGATCACAGCCTCCTGTACAGTGTTACAAACCTCTATTCATAGTTCTTCAGGGACTCTGAAAAGATATATCCATCTGAATGCAGAGATCCAAAGAATTTTGATGAGAGACAAGAAAGACTTTCTAAGCAATCAATTCAAAGAAATAGAGGAAAATGATAGAGTGGGAAAGACTAGAGATCTCTTCAGGAAAATTAAAGATACCAAAAGAACGTTTCATGCAAAGATGGGCACAATAAAGGACAGAAATGAAGAACCTAACAGAAGCAGAGAATATTAAGAAGAGGTGGCAAGAATACCCAGAAGAACTGTACAAAAAAGATCATCATGACACAGATAACCAGGAGGGTTTGATCACTCCCATAGAGTCAGACATCCTGGAATGTGAAGTCAAGTGGGCCTGAGGAAGCATCACAATGAACAAAGCTAATGGAAGTGATGGAATTCCAATGAGTTATTTCAAATCCTAAAATAAGATGCTGTTGAAATGCTGCACTCAATACGCCAGCAAATTTGGAAAACACAGCAGTGGCCACAGGACTGGAAAAGGTCAGTTTTCATTTCAATCCCAAAGAAAAGCAATGCCAAAGAATGATCAAACTACTGCACAATTGCATTCATCTCACACACTAGCAAAGTAATGCTCAAAATTCTCTAAGCTAGGCTTCAACAGTCCATGTACTAAGAACTTCCAGATGTTCAAGCTGGATTTAGAAAAGGGAGAGGGACCAGAGATCATATTGTCAACATCCATTGGATCATAGAAAAAACAAGATAATTTGAGGAAATCATATATTTCTGCTTCGTTGATGATGCCAAAGACTTTGACTATGTGAATCACAACAAACTGTGGAAAATTCTTCAAGAGTGGGAATACCAGGCCACCTTATCTGCCTCCTGAGAAATCTATATGTGGGTCAAGAAGCAACAGTTAGAATAGGACATGGAAAAACAGACTGGTTCAAAATTGGGAAAGGGGTATATCGAGGCTATATATTGTCACCCTGTTTATTTAACTTATATGCAGAGTACATCAAGATAAATGCTGGACTGAATGAAGCACAAGCTGGACTCAAGATTGCTGGGAGAAATATCTATAACCTCAGATATGCAGATGACACCACCCTTATGGCAGAAAGCAAAGAAGAACTAAAGAACCTCTTGATGAAAGTGAAAGAGGAGAGTAAAAAAGTTGGCTTGAAACTCAACATTCAGAAAACTAAGATTGTGGCATCTGGTCCCATCACTTCATGGCAAATAGATGGGGAAACAATGGAAAGACTGAGAGACTTTATTTTTGGGGGCTCCAAAATCACTGCAGGTGGTGACTTCAGCCATGAAATTAAAAGACACTTGCTCCTTGGAAGAAAAGTTATGACCAACTTAGATAGCATATTATAAAGCAAAGTATTGCCAAAAAGGTCTGTCTAATCAAAGCTGTGGTCTTTCCAGTAGTCATGTATGGATGTGAGAGTTGGACTGTAAAGAAAGCTGAGCACCAAAGAATTGATGCTTTTGAACTGTGGTGTTTGAGAAGACTCTTGAGAGTCCCTTGTTCTGCAAGAAGATCCAACCAGTCCATCCTAAAGGAGATCAGTCCTGGGTGTTTTGGAAGGACTGATTTTGAAGCTGAAACTCCAATACTTTGGCCACCTGATGCAAAGAGCTGACTCATTTGAAAAGACCCTGATGCTGGGAAAGATTGAAGGCAGGAGGAGAAGGGGATGACAGAGGATGAGATGGTGGGATGGCATCACTGACTCTATGGAGGTAAGTTTGAGTAAACTCGGGGAGTTGGTGATGGACAGGGAAGCCTGGAGTGCTGCGATTCATGGGGTCTCAAAGAGTCGGACATGACTGAGTGACTGAACTGACTGAACTTAGTTTAAGAAAAAGGACTTCATTCTTTCTCTTGACAAAGATACTGAATAGAAAGTGGAGAGTGTGCAGTGGTAGTTTCAGGTCAGAATGTTAGATATTTCAAAAGAGGAAGTATGACTTTTTTCATTGCAACAGAAGAAATATCACTCCAGAGAAGTGGTCTTTAGCAACTCAATTGGGAGAGGCATAAGGCAAGAGCTATTGTGAAATACCATGTTTTTATTTAAAGACAGTCTGTGTCTATTAGGAGCTAATAGATTCAACAAAGTTAGCTCTATAGAGGATTTGAAAAACCTCTCTATTCAAGGTCTGTTGGAAGAGTGGCAGGTGCTTCAACCAACAATGGCTGGTTTGAAGGGGTCAGGAGTAGAAAGCCCTTCCAGAGGCCTGGTGCTTATTGAAGCTAAGAAAGCACATTAAGTGTTCAGGTTCCTCTTCAGCATTTATTAAAAAAAAAATGCCTATGATTGAACAGAGTTTCTTGGACTCATATCTCAGTCCTTTAGTCTCAGGTGTCAAAATCACATAAAGCTCAGCTATAAATATCTCTTGAAGAAGTCAAGGCTATTTTCCATGTGAGTAATTGACAGAGGTTTCGGGATCACAGGGACAGTTCCCATCATCGCTGCGCATGCACTGTAACTGAACACTGGGTTGATGATAGCAGGAATCCGGATACCTAAAAGAGTGCATTTGTATCTATCAGTGTCCGGGACTAAAGTAGGCACTGAGCAAAAGATGGGGGAAGGGATGCTTAGAAAGTTTGGGATGGACATGTACACGCTGCCATATTTAAAATGGGCAATCAGCAAGGATCTCCTGTGCAGGGCAGGGGCCTCTGCTCAATGTCATGTGTCAACCTGGATGGGAGGCGGTTTGAGTGAGAACGGAGACCTGCGTGCGTGTGGGTGGGTCCCTTTGTTGTCCACGTGAAGCTATCACAACCTTGTTTATTAACTGTCTGTACCCCGATACAAAATAAGAAAAAAATTAAAAATGCCTCCTCTCTTAGATCTTTATAAATCTATGCCAATTCAATAGCTATCAAAATGTTAAAAATCTAGATCACCTTTAAATTTTGTATCTAAGCTTCAGGTAATGATTCCATTATTTCACAATGCCAATGCTCTTCTAAACAAAAAGATGTTAAAAATACATTTAGGAAATAATGGACCTCTTCTTTCTGGTCTCACTCATGCAACAGAGAAACTATGACAAACTATGAAGATGTTCTCTACTTTCCAGGCTTTTGTGAAATATCTGTTCACTGAGATGATGTGTATGACAGGTTGTGTTTTCCAAAAATCTTTGTAAAAATACACTGCATGTGTATCTAGAATTTTGCACTTCCTGAACAAAAGATGAGGTGTATTTCCTTCCCCTTAAAAGTAGGCTGAGCATAGTGACTGTCTTGAACATTAGGGGACACCAGAATCGACGCTAAGTGACTTTTGAGGCTAGGTCGTGAAAGTGCCATGCCCCTGACTCTCTTAGGTTGTTGACCTTGGAAATCCAGAAACCATGCTATGAGGAAGCCTGAAGAATCCACGGGGGAGATCCGGTGAAAATATGAAAACAAATTAAATGTTGCCCAAAGTTTTAGAGCATGTATCGATGGGGTTAAAATAAAATAGAATGGAGAGCAGGCTTGACAGTCTCCCAAGGAGACAAAACCATTTGAACCACATGAGCAAAAATAAATCTACATATTTCATGAACATAAACTAACTTAACTTACGTCATTTCTTGTAAATGCCTCTGGTAATCATACAGGAAAGTAAATTCGTCTTTCTCAAATGGTATAAGATAATCATTTTTAAACAGTTCCCTGCTGTCTGGAAACTGCGCTGTGATAACCAATCCCTGTAAATGTTGAACAACACCCTCCTTTACTTTACGAGGCATCTTGTAATGTCATGCCCTTCGTGTCATGAGCTTCCTATCAGTTTTGGATTTGAAAGCTCCCAGGTTGCAGACTTTCCTATGTACACAGTAAACTCTTGCTAATTACTGTTTTATCCACCAGGTGGTTTAATTTGGGATTTTGACAATAGATAGAAATAGAGACAGGTTATGCAGAAATCTCCACACACGGAACTTCAGATTCCACAAGGGAAAAAATTTGGTCCAAGAAACAAAATTGCTTTTCTCTTCTGGTTCTTTACCATCTTAAATTCAGTGTAAAATTCTTGCTCTATAAATTAAAACACTTATACAGACATGACTTTTTAATAATAATCTAATTTTATACACGCCCAATAATTTTTTCTTAAATTGTTTCTTCCACTCTTCTACTGCCTAACCTTAACAACATTTGCATCTGAACTCTCCAAACCCTGCATCTGTGTCTATGAGAATACAAATTACTATTAAATACAAAAATGTATTTATATAACATAGCTCTAATTTATACATCTCTGTTTCTATTTTTATGTGAAAAAGTGAAAGTTTTAGTTACTCAGTGGGGTCTGACTCCATACTACTACCTGGACCATAGCCCACCAGGCTTCTCTGTCCATGGAATTCTCCAGGCTAGAACACTGGAGTGGGTTGCCACCCCTTCTCCAGGGGATCTTCTTGACCCAAGAATGGAACGGGTTTCCTGCATTGCAGGTGGATTCTATAGGTATAGATAGATAGATAGACAGACAGATAGATACCATAAAATGGAACAATATGTAATGATTTAAAATGTTGAGAAAATTCTGCATTTGTTTCCCAGAAAACAGTGGCTGTATGCTACATATTTTCAAGTTAAAAAAAGGCAGGCTATAAATCAGGATATCTAATATGGCTATTTTTTCATGATAGGCGGATTGGGGTATATGTAGATATTTAAATATCTTAATAGATGCATATGAAAATCTGGAATAAGAGACATCAAGCTATCAACAATAGTTCTAAGTGGTATTGTAACAAATAATTTTGATTTATTTGTATCTCTCTTATCTTTGTATTCTAATTTCCCTTCCAAATAGCAAGTCTTATTAAAAATGTTCTAAAATTACACAACCCAAGATTTATTTCAAACACTGCAAACATTTTCTTTGCTCATTCTTTTGCCCAATTCTGTGTCCCTGATGCCGCAAAGTGAGAAGTGCAGCCGTCTTGCCGTAACCGGAATCCGGTAATACGCTTTAAAAATATGCTTCTCTCAAATATCTATAAATACTTTTCTCAGGAGGCAGAGAAGGGAAAGTGGAAACCTCTTGTTGGCTAAACTGAAAAAGGACTAAAGATTCCTTCCTGCCTGGAAAATGTTCCCCTCTGGCCCTGACTCAGGAGGCCTTTCTGTGTGTTTCCCGTGTGATGGTATCAGTGATGGCGCAACAGCAGTGGCTGACATTCACTCACTACACCTTAAACTTTATGGGGATTTAAAAAAAAAATCTGATGCTCCCTTGAAGGTTTGCTATGTAACTGCTATGTTCATTGGTTTTGATGTGTAAATATGTGTGATTTACTTATCTCCTGAAATCGTTACTTTCTAATATTTTCTAAAGAACACTGCAGAAGGAGACAAAAAATGAACTGTGAAGTCTTCCTCTGCTTTTAGGGGGACCGTCATTTAGTATCAAAGACTTCCCATGGATATTTCTCAACCCCAAGTGGGATAATCAATGGAAAATACGACTTCTGTTCTGCCCTTTACCCTGGAGTCCTCTGCTCTGTTACCCAGAAGTCACACACATAGGAAAAGCGTGCATTCCTCCCCAGATTTGTGAGGTATGTCTCCAAGTTGGTGCCATTTTAAGGAACAGATTTCTAAAGGGCAGGAATTTAATTAAATGTGTTCTGGAGCTAAACGGGGCAACTTTTTTCTGTTTCACTGGATTTATGGGGTCTATAGAAAGTCAACCAGTTGCCATCTCAAAAAGCCAGTGGATGCTGTGTTCTCACTGGATGTAACTTTTTAGAATTTCTTTATGAATAAGATTACAATACCCAATAGCTACTAGAGAACATTTGTTATGTCAGCACGGAGAAGATGTATTAAAACTGACACAGAATGAAGAATTTAAATGGAAAAACAGTAACTTTTAAATTTCCTTTTTCATAGAAAGATCTATGGGATTAAAACATAATGAAAATCATACTTAATTTACATTTTGCTTACATCTATTTGTGTCATTTAGCAAAACCATAACACAGGCATTTTATCTAAAATGTATAAACACATTTTTTCCTATATGATGAGTGAACAAAATCATAAACAGAGCTCATGCTATTTAAAATTACTGGTTCAATATTTAAATTTTGAAATGGGAGTTTCAAGCCAGGGCTTCTGGTCAAGAAATACTAATTTAAAGAGGAAAATAAATGCCTCACATTCCAAGAAACATTTACTTTGCAGGCTTGACACTTTTTATTTCTTTAAACGTATTTTAAGGAGCAAGCGTCTTTTAATTTCATGGCTGCAGTCACCATCTGCAGTGATTTTGAAGCTCAAGAAAATAAAGTCTGTCACTGCTTTCATTGTTCTTCCATCTATTTGCCATAATGTGATGGGACTGGATGCCATGATCTTAGTTTCTGAGTGTTGACTTTTAAGCCAATTTTTTAATCCCTGGGTCAAGAAGATTCCCTTGAGGAGCAAATGCAACTCACTCTAGTATTCTTGCTTGGGAAATTCTATAGCCAGAGGAACGTGGTGGGTCCTTGGGGTCACAAAGAGTCAGACACAAGTGATTGACTGAGTACACATGAACAAGCCTAAGTATTTTATTAAAATAAAGTTTTTTCTAAAAGTAATTGAGTAAATTTTATTTCTGAAAATATGATGAAGAAAACATATTGGTTCATGACAGCTAAACATACAAAATAAAAAAAAACCTTAAAATACAGATCTGAACTGATACAAATCCTCAGAGAAGACTTGTTGTACATACTGGAATTGTCCAATAGAAAATATATAATAAATATTTAAATATTCAGAAGGGAATGAAAAGGGAATACAAATAGAATAAAAAAATAAAATACTGTCCTAGGTGAGCAGGTGTGTTTGATAAAGAAATAAATACAGCTCTTCAGAATAAATTGCAGATGCATGAACACTCCTGTAAATCAGAAACTCAGTGGATGGACTAAATAGCATTTTAGACAAATCAGAAGAAAGACGATGTACTAGGCTGAAGATGTACTAGGCTCCAATACTTTGGCCACCTGGTGTGAAGAGCTGACTCATTTGAAAAGACCCTGAATGAGTCTGGGAAAAGATTGAAGGCAGGAGGAGAAGGAGACGACAGAGGATGAGATGACTGGATGGCATCACCGATTCAATGGACATGAGTTTGAGTAAACTCCAGGAGTTTGAGTAAACTCCGGTGATAGGGAGGCCTGGCTTGCTGCAGTCCATGGGGTCTCAAAGTGTCGGACATGACTGAGCGACTGAACTGAACTAAAGTAGGCTGAAGTAGTGAGTCCAAATAAGTCCTTTATAAGAAAGTAAGATGAAGCATAAAAAGATTTCAGTGACATAGAAGAATACGATTAAATATATGTCTTATTCCAGATCTAGGAAAAAGATAATAAGAGAAGGGCTGAACAAAACGATGAGACACAGACTGATCATTTTTAATATGATAAAATACAAAAGGTTCAAGATGTGCACCTAAGACTATCATAATCAAACAGCTGAACTCCAAACACAAAGAAAAGGGACTAGAGAAAAAATAAATTGTCTGCCAAAAACCGGCCAGAAGACTGATAATGACATACCGACAGTAGAAACAGAAGCCAAAAAGAATAGTTCTGCTCTCTTCAGTATGATAACAGTGAAGAGATCTCAACTCTGAATTCTAAATTTAGCAAATCTAACTTTCAAGACACAACTGAGCGACTGAACTGAACTGAACTTTCAAGAGTAAGAAGTAATTTTAATTTCAAGCAAAAATTTAAAAAGTTATACTTAACCGCTTTCTGATAAAATTCTAAAGGATATGTTTTAAGAGGAGGAAAATTATCCCAGAGGAAGGTCTGAGGCATAATAAAGAATTTTGGTCAGAGAAATACGAGGATAAGTATATTATTTGTAAAACAATAAGAATGCCGTGTGTATGTCTGACTGCGTGTGTACCACCCGGGGAACAACATCATTTAAAATTTCAGGCTAAACTCACTCAGTTATGAGCATGAATACCAAAGTCTTTAAAATATTTTAATAAATAAAATCTAATAATGTATTAAGAAGATAAATTCTATCTTCTGGATAGTTTATATTACCAAAGTAATTATTCTTCTGATTTTAATAAACATTTCCTCTTATAAATCTTTTATACTCTATAGCCAATTAAATTTTATTTAATAAAAAAAAAGATAGCATTTTGACCAAGTTGGGTGAATTTTAGGAAAAATAGGTTGATTCAGAATTAGAAAATAATCAAATATATTAATGCACAAAAAAGTATTAGATATTTTTAAGCATCCACTAATGATTTAAAATAAGGCAAAAAAAAAAAAACACCTAATAGTTTAGAAATAGAAGAAAAAATTTATCCCTGTGTAAATCTTTCTTGCCACTACATCTTAGTTAATGGTAAAATATTAAACATGTTTCCATATAACCAGGGACAAAACTGATTGCCTCTGACTACTGCATCTATCCAACACAGTTCAGAAAATTCCAGCAGAACAATAAAAGGAAAAAGAATTAATGGTTTAAGGTTTGCAAAATAAGAGGCAGTTACTAAGACTACATCAGTGCTGTTAAGTAGAAGTATGATACAGGCCACATATATAATTTAAAATTTCCTAGTAGTCACATTTTTAAAAGATATGCAAATTAAGACCTTACAGTATTTATGCAGAGGTAGAGACATAAAGCAGAAATAAATCAGAAACAGTTCAGAAACAGGTCCATACTTACGTGGAGATTAGCTGCATGTTAGAGAGTCCCTTGAACAAGAAAGAGATCAAACCAGTCAATCCTAAAGGAAATTAACCCTGAATAATCAGGGAAGGACTGACGCAGAAGCTGAAGCTTCAGTACTTTGGCCACGATGCAAACAGCCGACTTACTGACAAGACCCTGATGCTGGGAAAGGTTGAAGGCAGGAGGAGAAGAAGGCAGCAGAGACTGAGATGGTTGGATGGCATCACCGATTCAGTGGACACGAATTTAGGTAGATTCTGGTAGATAGTGAGGGACGAGGAGCCTGGCATGCTGCGGTCCATGAGGTCGCAGAGAGGCAGGCTCAGCTTAGCGGATGATCAGCAGAGGCAGTGATGGGGCTTTCCAGTGGCTCAGTGCAAAGAGTCCGCCAACACAGGAGATGTGGCTTGATCTCTGGGTTGGGAAGATCCCCTGGAGAAGGAAATGGCAACCCACTCCAGTATTCCTGTCAAGGAAATCCTGTGGACAAGGGGCCTGGCGGGCTACGGCCCATGGAGTCCCAAAGAGTCAGGCACGCTTAGGAACTAAACAGCAATAAGAGTCACTATTATACTTCAGGCAGAAAGGGGAGATATTCAGTAAATGATGCTGAAAATTAATTATCTATATGGGAAATGAAACTATGTTCTTACCTTATATGTTAAGCAAAAATAAATGACATGTAGTAACTTAAAATTTAAAGTCAGTATTTTCAAAATGTAAAACATAGCTTAAGGAAATCTTGATGAATATACAATAAAAAATACATTTTGAAAGCACTGAATATTAACAGAAAGATAATTCCATTGTATCACAGATACTTGTACATTGAAAAGTACCATGAAGAGAGTTAGAGAACAAGCCACAAGCTAACAGAAAATATTTACCTAACTATGACTGAAAAGATTTTTAAATCAGAAATATTTAAAGGGATTTCTATGGCTCAGAAAGAAAAAAACAAATCACCCAGTTGAGAAAAGAGCAAATAACTTGGCATCTCACAGGAGAAAAACAAATAAAGAGCAAAAATATGAGTATTTGTTCAACCTTTTTAGTAATCAGAAAAATGTAAATTAAAACCACAGGAAGATAAGTTTTCGTGCTCGCCATATTGGCAAGCTTTACTTCACATTTTTCGCTTTCTTCTTTAGAATGTCTTTCTAACTTTGGCCATTTGTTCAGCTTATTAAATTACACAAAATCCTTTACTGAAATTTTTATTGGAGTAATGGATCAAGTTGGGGAGAAATGAAATTTTTTATGATAGGTTTTATATGCAATCATATGGTATGTCTATTTAATTAGGTATTCTTAAATGAATTTCAATTGAGTCTTAAAATTTCCTTGGAAAAAGACTTGCATTAAAAAAATTATTTCAGGTTACCTTAAAATTTTTATAGCTACTGTAAATGGCACCTTTCTAATTATTAATTTTTCTATTTTATTAACAGGAATCTGAATTCTAATCATCTCCCCTCTCCAGGAATTACAAATATGGCAGTAGCTACATGAATGAGTTTTACAGTTTCCAAACATCTGCATCTCCATTTGCTTATGTCTGAAACCCAGTCCTTCCTGAATACCCTCGAGCGTCTTCCACAGATCTTCTTAGCTTCTGCACTTGAGGGATCCTAAGTCAAGGACCCATCTCTTCAGTGGGTATCTGCATCACTCGCTGGAGTGGGGTGTGTGGGTTCCCATTCATTGGGAGCCCCTACCGGTGTCCATGTGTGTGTGCGTGCGTGTGTGTGTCTGTGTGTTTGTCCGAGTGTGTGTGTGTGTGTCCGTGTGCGTGCCCAGTTGCTAAGCTGTGTTCTCTTTGCGACCCCACAGACTGTAGCCCACCAGGCTCCTCTGTTACGGGATTTTCCAGGGGAGAATGACCGCAGTGGGTGCCAGTTACTTCTCCAGACCTGTGTCCGTAAAACATCTTGTCTCTTGTCATCCTCATTACTCATATCCATGTGTTGCCTGGAGCCACTAGCCAAGCTTTGACTCACTTTCTGAGCACTTTTCCATGAGCTTCTATCCAGCGGATAGCTGACTTCCAGGCCACTCACGAGCAGCTGTTGTGCCTGTTCCCATGGCTCCTGCCTCCTAACTGCTGATGTTGCTCATCTTCCGGTCTGTGTGAAGCTGCCTTTACCTGAGGGTTCTGACAAAGCTCTTTGGGTCCTGCTTTGCTCCTCGCGTCCCCCGACTCATTCCGCAGTGATTCCTCCTAATCCCTAGAGGGATTCCAGAAGGCAGAGGACGGGTCTAAAGCATACAGCTCTTTCCTGTGTGTCTAAATACTTTGCCCACAACATAGGCTCATGAATATCTTGAAAACAGTACTTCGTTTAGATGGTTTTATATAACATGACAGGGCTTCCTTGGAGGCTCAGAAGGTAAAGAATCTATTTGCAATGCAGGAGACACGGGTTTGATCTCTGGGTTAGGATGATCCCCTGGAGAAGGGAAAGGTTACCTACTCCAATATTCTTGCCTGGAGAATTCCACGGACAGAGGAGCCTGGCAGACTACAATCCTTAGGGTCGCAGATGGTCAGACACGACTGTGTGACTAACACACGTACGCACACACATATATAAACTGACTTGAATTCCGAAGCTGTCACTTATAAATCAGGGAACATGCGGATGTGGATGTTGTTGTAGGTTGGGGATGATGACACTCCTTCTCCCTGGCTAATGAATTCATAATTTAAAGATAAACAGGATCATAACAGCTGCTCCATTAATGCCTGGAGCATGTACACAATTACTGAAAATTTTAGAGCTTCTGGTAAATTGCATGACATTTTAGCTTAGACCTGAGGTCTAGCCAGGACTCCTCCACCTCAAGGCTGCCCTCGAGTCATACTTGTGGGGAGAGCTCTGTCTGCAATGCGGGGTTCAGTCTGCTCACTTGGTCACCTGAGAGGAACACAGGATGCCTCCTCTGATAAGATGGATGGAAGGTTGTCCCGTGAGGAGAACGGCCTTCTCTCAGGTCTTTACTGTAAGAGACCTAGAAGCAAATGGGGAGCTCAGTTCAAGATTCTAGAGTGCACCTCAAAGGTCAAAGAGCTCAAACTCACTGAGCATATGCCATGCCAGTTGTGAAAATAGTAAAATATTTCCAAAGTGGTTTATTAGTCTAACTCAGCTCAGATGGTAAAGAATTTGCCTGCAATGAGGCAGACCCAGGTTTGATCCCTGGGTTCTCTTGTCATCCTCATTACTCATATCCATGTGTTGCCTGGAGCCACTAGCCAAGCTTTGACTCACTTTCTGAGCACTTTTCCATGAGCTTCTATCCAGCGGATAGCTGACTTCCAGGCCACTCACGAGCAGCTGTTGTGCCTGTTCCCACGGCTCCTGCCTCCTAACTGCTGATGTTGCTCATCTTCCGGTCTGTGCGAAGCTGCCTTTACCTGAGGGTTCTGACAAAGCTCTTTGGGTCCTGCTTTGCTCCTCGCGTCCCCCGCCTCATTCCGCAGTGATTCCTCCTAATCCCTAAAGGGATTCCAGAAGGCAGAGGACGGGTCTAAAGCATACAGCTCTTTCCTGTGTGTCTAAATACTTTGCCCACAACATAGGCTCATGAATATCTTGAAAACAGTACTTCGTTTAGATGGTTTTATATAACATGACAGGGCTTCCTTGGAGGCTCAGAAGGTAAAGAATCTATTTGCAATGCAGGAGACATGGGTTTGATCTCTGGGTTAGGATGATCCCCTGGAGAAGGGAAAGGTTACCTACTCCAATATTCTTGCCTGGAGAATTCCACGGACAGAGGAGCCTGGCAGACTACAATCCTTAGGGTCGCAGATGGTCAGACACGACTGTGTGACTAACACACGTACGCACACACATATATAAACTGACTTGAATTCCGAAGCTGTCACTTATAAATCAGGGAACATGCGGATGTGGATGTTGTTGTAGGTTGGGGATGATGACACTCCTTCTCCCTGGCTAATGAATTCATAATTTAAAGATAAACAGGATCATAACAGCTGCTCCATTAATGCCTGGAGCATGTACACAATTACTGAAAATTTTAGAGCTTCTGGTAAATTGCATGACATTTTAGCTTAGACCTGAGGTCTAGCCAGGACTCCTCCACCTCAAGGCTGCCCTCGAGTCATACTTGTGGGGAGAGCTCTGTCTGCAATGCGGGGTTCAGTCTGCTCACTTGGTCACCTGAGAGGAACACAGGATGCCTCCTCTGATAAGATGGATGGAAGGTTGTCCCGTGAGGAGAACGGCCTTCTCTCAGGTCTTTACTGTAAGAGACCTAGAAGCAAATGGGGAGCTCAGTTCAAGATTCTAGAGTGCACCTCAAAGGTCAAAGAGCTCAAACTCACTGAGCATATGCCATGCCAGTTGTGAAAATAGTAAAATATTTCCAAAGTGGTTTATTAGTCTAACTCAGCTCAGATGGTAAAGAATTTGCCTGCAATGAGGCAGACCCAGGTTTGATCCCTGGGTTGGGAAGATCCCCTGGAGAAGGGAATGGCAACCCACTCTAGTATTCTTGCCTGGGAAATCCCATGGACAGCGGAGCCTGGTGGGCTGCAGTCCACGGTGTAACAAAGAGTTGGACACAACTGAGTGACTAACACTTTTACTTCTCCTTTTCCCTCCCAGATTTCCCCACGATCCAGGAAATAAGAGTTAATGTCAGGAAGGCCAGGGGCTTCGAGAATTCAGCGATCTGCTTTGTTCCTGACAGCAGCTGTTGCAGAGGCCTGCTCCTCTTTCTACATCTCTGCCTCAAGCTTCTCAGGAGGGCTAGGAGACAGGTGACTTGTAAATGTGTTCTCCCCTTCAGTATGTTGTCTTTTCATTTTATTTATGCTTTCTTTTGCTGTGCAGAGGTCTTCAGTTTTTGGTTGTATTTTTCATAAAAGAAAAAAAAGTCCTTATATACAATTTCTCATCCAGAAAATAGTCTGTACTGCAAAGAAGTGTTATGTGCTTAATTATTTCCCTTTATTGATTTTCCCGAATGATGAGTTCTTAGCCCTAAAAACCTGCAATAGGGAGCATTCTTGACGTTTGAATCATCTCAACTTCAACTGCTTGGAGTCAAACTCTGTTTTCTCCCTTTGCTCTTTGGCAAGACCCCATTCATTAATCATTCATTCTTTTCTTGTTTCTGAAGGAATGTGATGTCCGGGCTCATCTGTGTTTTCCTGACATGAAATCAGACATTCCTTCAAACACTCCTGGTTCTCTCTAATGGAAAATGTCATCTGGAGATCATGATCAAGTGCTAGAAGTGTTTGAGTTGTCGCTACTTATATGCCTTTTCAGTACACATTTTAACAGCAGACAACTCATGAGTTTATATAATATTAGTTTGTCCTGCTCTGGAATGTTTACTTATGTTTTGACTTTAGATTTTTATCTATTTTTATACGACCTGAAAAATCATTGTGTCTACTAATATTGCACACTTACATATTTGTTTCATCATAAAATAATCATTTCAAGAATAGTAATGCTAATGTTACTACAAAATGAACCCTGTTACATGAAATTTACAGGCATTGTATCCACTGAACTCCTAAACATGACAGTGAGTAATAGCAAGAACAAAAATATTTTTATAAAACCGCAGTTAAATGATCAACTAAATTGTTGATCAGGTCTTTATCTGGTTTTGAGCTCTCATTAAAATTTCAGTAATATTTTAGAGCTATTTTTTTATGTGTGTGCTCAGTTGCTCAGCCGTGTCTGACTGTTTGTGACCCTTTGGACTGTAGCCTGTCACACACCCCTGAGCATGGGATTTTCCAGGCGAGAATGCCAGAGTGGATTGGCATTTCCTTCTCTAGGGGATCCTCCCTACTCAGGGATGGAAACTGCGTCTCCTTTGTCTCCTGCAGCGCAGGCAAATTCTTTACTGCTGAGTCATTGGGGAAATCCCATTTTTTTCATAATAGACGCATTAACAAAAGCACTTGATAGAACTAACCATTCATTCTTGATAAACACTCTCAATAAATTAGAAATAGAAGGAACTTACTTTGCTTCATAAATGTCACACACAAAAATTCTTATAGCTAGCATTAAACTTGTTGACAAGTCATTAAATAATTTCCCTTAAAGATTCTCTGGTAAAAGTGTCGAGTGACATATGCACAGGATATTCTTTGCAGCATCTTTGTTTCTGTTATAGCAAAAGACAGAAGGAAAAATAGCACAATTCCTTATAAAGAGGAAACTGTTGAAATAAACAGTGTCAATCACAGTGATGTGTTCTGTAGATATAAAAGACAATACAAAAGACCTCCTTTCTATGTCCGATATCTGGTTGCTCTCTAGTCCTCTCAAATCATTAAATTTTTTTATCCAGGTTTATAATTGTCATCTGCTGGAATATTAGTTCAACTGGAAAGCAGAAAGTGGAATTTTTGCTCATTGCCAAGTATATCTTTGTATACATTAGTGAAAGTATTGTGTCAAAGGATAAATGCCTATGCAATTTTAATAGATTTATTTTTATTTATTATACTTATCTGTCTATTCCATCAATACTTGTTTCTTCTCTAAAATTCAAGCTTCAACTGAACACAGATTGTTTGTTTTTCCTCAATATTCTCTCCCCATTATTTGGACAGAGTAAATATTTGCTATCAAATTGTTATTAAAAGAGTGAGGGTTCTTATATGATAGAAAGTATATCAAAAACAGTTGCAATATTTTTGTATCCAACTCATCACAAATAATTTTCGTATTATCAATAGAGAAGTAAAATTTTGTTTTCCATTTCAATATATGGTTAGTTTTGATTTGAATTCTGTAAAAAATGTATAGTAAAGAATGGATTCATTTTTTTTTTCAACTAGAGTTTATTTTTCTGTAGCACTTTTCATTGAAATATTTTCCCTTTCCTTATTTAATTGCCTTGGCATTTTGGAATTTCTGGGAGAAAACACAAGAAAATTTTAATGGCCTTGGGTAAGACAAATATTTTTGCTCTTCCAAAGATATTGTTACAGAAATAAAAATGCAAGCCTCAGACAGGGAGAAATATTTGCAAAACACACATCTGGTGGGGGATTTGTATCTGGAACAGATTAAGAAGTTTTATAATTTAATAACAGGAAGACAAACTGTTACAAGAAACATAATATGGCTGAACAGATTCCCCCCTCTTGTCTCTGGTGCACATACCCTGCATGTTCCCCTCTGAGTGTGGGCAGAACCTGCGAACACAGTGGATTCCACTCTCATAATTAAGCTAATTATCAGCTGATTTTGAGTTAATCCAAAAGGGATGTTATCTTGGTGACCTTAGTTGCAGGAGCAGAAGGCCCGCTGGCCTGAAAGAAAGCAAACCATCCTATGTGAATGGCCTCTGGAGGGACCATAGAGCTAGATTTGGAGGTATCCTTAGAGCTCAGGGCAATCTCTGGGCAATAGCCAGCAAGAATATGGAGATGTCAGTCCTACAACCACAAAGACCTGAATTCAGCCAACCACCTGAACAGGCTTGGAAGAAGCACTGAGCTCTATCTGATTCCACAGTATGGAAAACACCTAGGCTCAGTCAATTGCATCCATAAGAGCCAAAGTCTTGGCTAAGCCACAGACTCCTGAGCTCTGAGACCCGAGAGGTAGCAAACCGGTGCTGCTATGAGCCGCTCAGATTGTGCTCATTTGTTACGCGCAAGGAGACACCACTGTACAAGCTCATCTTAAAATGTGAAAAATCCCCTTTGAACGTAAGATGGATTTACTAATTCATTTCCAAAGAATAGAGTATGAAAAAAGGGAAGTAGTAACTTTATTATGACCTTGAGTGATCCAAGTTAATACCCAGTATTAATTCACATTGGTTTTATGCAGCCCTGATAGAGGATGATTAGAAGAGTGTCTGAATGGTATTTGTCTCTAAAGCCCACAATCCCAGCCTAGTGTTGAAGAAAATATCAGGCAAAATCATAACTCATGGACATTTTATAAATTACTTGGTGTAGAATTCTTGAGATAATCCATGTCGTGAAAGAAAACGGAAACTGTTATAGATCAAAAGAAACTAGGGTATTTGTTGCTTAAATGAAATGTGATATCCTAGATTTAATTTTGTCGTTGTTCAGTTGCTAATTCTGTGGAGAGCCCATGGACTATAGCACTCTGTGCTGCCCTGTTCTTCACCGTCTCGCGGAGTTTCCTCAGATTTACGCCTGTTGAGCCTGTGATGCCATCCAACCATCTCATCCTCCACTGCCCTCTTCTCCTCCTGCCTTAATCTCCCCACATCAGGGCCTTTTCCAGTGAGTCACTCTGCATCAAGTGGCCAAAGTATTATTTGTAATAGCCAAAAGGAGAAACCAAATGTCCAGTCGCTAGTGAACATATTTTGGTATACCCACACAATGGAATAAGAATTCAGCAATAATAAAATCTTCCTGGTGGGAGAGACTGACTGAGGGGGAAACTGGGTCTTCTCCAGATGGTCAATACCGAAATCAGATCGATTATATTCTTTGCAGTCAAAGATGGAGAAGCTCTATACTCAGTATAAACAAGACTGGGAGCTGACTGTGGCTCAGATCATGAACTCGTTATTGCCAAATTCAGACTTAAATTGAAGAAAACAGGAGAAACCACTCAACCATTCAAGTATGGCCTAAATCAAATCCCTTACAATTATACAATAGAAGTGGCAAATAGATTCAAAAGATTAGATCTGATAGACAGAGTACTTGAAGAACTATGGACAGAGGTTTGTGACATTGGACAGGAGACAGGGATCAAGAGCATCCCTAAGAAAAATAAATACAAAAAGGCAAAATGCTTGTCTGACGAGGCCTTACAAATAGTTGAGAAAAGACAAAAAGCTAAAGGCAAAGGAGAAAAGGAAAGATATACCCATTTGAATACAGAGGTCCANTCTCACACGCTAGTAAAGTAATGCTCAAAATTCTCCAAGCCAGGCTTCAGCAATATGTGAACCATGAACTTCCAGATGTTCAAGCTGGTTTTAGAAAAGGCAGTGGAACCAGAGATCAAATTGCCAACATCCACTGGATCATCGAAAAAGCAAGAGAGTTACAGAAAAACATCTACTTCTGCTATATTGACTATGCCAAAGCCTTTGACTATGTAGATCACCACAAACTGTGGAAAATTCTGAAAGAGATGGGAATACCAGACCACCTCACCTGCTTCTTGAGAAATCTATATGCAGGTCAGGAAGCAAAAGTTAGAACTGGACATGGAACAACAGACTGGTTCCAAATAGGAAAGGAGTACATCAAGGCTGTATATTCTCACCCTGCTTATTTAACTTATATGCAGAGTACATCATGAGAAATGCCAGGCAGATGAAGCACAAGCTAGAATCAAGATTGCCAGGAGAAATATCAATGACCTCAGATATGCAGATGACACCACCCTTATGGCAGGAAGCGAAGAAGAAATAAAGAGCCTCTTGATGAAAGTGAAAGAGGAGAGTGGAAATGTTGCCTTAAAGCTCAACACTCAGAAGACTAAGATCATGGCATCTGGTCCCATCACTTCATGGCAAATAGACGGGGAAACAATGGAAACAGTGAGATATTTTATATATTTATTTATTTAGTGCTCCCAAATACTGCGGATGGTGACTGCAGCCATGAAATTAAAAGATGCTTGCTCCTTGGAAGAAAAGCTATGACCAAGTTAGGCAGCTTATTAAAAAGCAGAGACATTATTTTACCAACAAAGTTCTGTCTAGTCAAAGCTGTGGTTTTTCCAGTAGTCATTTATGGATGTGAGAGTTGGACTATAAAGAAAGCTAAGTGCCAAAGAATTGATGCTTTTGAACTGTGGTGTCAGAGAAGACTCTTGAGAGTCTCTTGAACTGCAAGGAGATCCAACCAGTCCATCCTAAAGGAAATCAGTCTGAATATTCATGGGAAAGACTGATGCTGAAACTGAAACTCCAATACTTGGCCTCCTGATGCAAAGAATGACTCATTTGAAAAGACCCTGATGCTGGGAAAGATTGAAGGTGGAAGGAGAAGGGGACGACAGAGGATGAGATGGCTGAATGGCATCACTAACTCAATGGACATGAGTTTGAGTAACCCCAAGGAGTTGGTGATGGACAGGGAAGCCTGGCGTGCTGCAGTCCATGGGGTTACAAAGAGCCGGACACGACTGAGCGACTGAATTGAACTGAACTGAATAATAAAAGGGTAAACTATTGATACATATATTAAACAATTATGCCAAGCGAAAGAACCCAGACTAAAAATAGTGCAAACTGTCTGATTTCATTTATTTAAACTCTAGAAAATGGAGACCAATCAGTGAGGACAGATAGTGGAATGGTGGTTATCTGCATATGGGGCAGAGTGGGTTAGTGGGGTGGGATTATGATGGGATAAGAGAAAATTTTGAAGGTGATGGCGATGTTTATCTCAATTGTGATCATTTCACAAATTTATACATAAGGCAGAACTCATCAAACTGTCTCATTAAATATACACCATTAATTGTATATCTGTTACACTTGAATACAGTTGTAAACAGAAGATACAATAAAAATAAAGTCATAACCTAGCTCCAGCCTATCTTAACCCCTCCCTCCCCCCCAACAACTGTGTTTGAGCTGTTCCAGACAACTGGCTCTTCGGAAGTGGCTGGTGCTTAGTGTAAAAATAGAGAACCGGTAAAAGCAATTTTGCTAAATTAATATGTTAATATTTTTGTATCTATGTCAAATTCTAAGCAAAATCAGTAAAATTTGAGTGTGTATTTTTAAACTACTCTTGTTTTTAAAAATCTTTAAACTGCATTTTATCACAAGATATCCATTCCATGTTTATAGTAAATTTTCTTTAGCTGTAAGTGAAACTCCCCACTAAACTGCCAGCTGCTAATAGTTTCTCCAGACACTGCTATTACTAGCAAATTAACATGAACAACACTTAAGGGGGAAGAGTGGGAGGGTTCATGTGAGGGAATCTTCTCTCTTATATCTTTAATAATGCATATTTGAAGAAAAGATTTCAGTCTTCTGATATGTTAATCTAACATCTTCCCCTCCTACGCATCAGCATCAGAGTTATTAATAAAGTGCTCAAGAATAAGGAAATAGGTGCTGCAATTGAAATTCATTGCTATATCTGAATAGAAGAAAGGGCAGCAAGTGGCAGGATGGCTTTGAAGGAAAAAAATGAGCAGTAGGTTTGAAAAGTGAGAAAGATCTAGGAAGGCAGAAACAGAAGAGAATAAACACAAATAGATCACGTTCGTATACATAGGAAATTTTCAACGTTTAAATTCAGAATTCAAGCTATGATTTCTTCTATCAGCTAAACTAGAATATAAGCAAAAGGAAAGAGATAAATTTGGTCAAGTAAATGAAGTTAGAAGTTTCTTGGAGTGTTGGGGGAGGGGAGCCAATGACAGTGCTATGTTCCAGGCGTCTTTCGCACATTTGTTTTGGTTTTATTTTTTTGTTTGTTTTTGTTTTACCTAAGCAATCCAGCCAGACAAATACGGTGACTGTTTTACAGATACAGTATTGATACTTAGAGAATTTAAATGAATTGTCCAAATTCAAAGAATTGTTATACATTAGAATCAAGCCTCAAGCTAATCAATTTACTATGTATTATACGGATTTATAAATCCTATGGCTGATGGACATTTGATTTATTGATACTTTTTTTTGCTGTTGTTATCATGACTTGTGTCGCTTTGAATGCAGGGACACACACATACACTCATCGTTCTGAGTACGTGCTGTGGAAGCAGAACCGATGACAAGGCCAAGTGTGAAGCCGCTCTAGTAGGTGCTGCCAAACGGTGACCCCAGGCAGCTCTGGTAATTACATCTCTATCATCAGTGCATGGGGTTTCTGTTGCTCTGTATCCTAGCCAATGACTGGTATTTTCTGTCTTTTCCTATTTAACAATTATGTTTTGGGGGAGGGGAGCCAATGACAGTGCTATGTTCCAGGCATCTTTCGCACATTTGTTTTGGTTTTATTTTTTTGTTTGTTTTTGTTTTACCTAAGCAATCCAGCCAGACAAATACGGTGACTGTTTTACAGATACAGTATTGATACTTGGAGAATTTAAATGAATTGTCCAAATTCAAAGAATTGTTATACATTAGAATCAAGACTCAAACTAATCAATTTACTATGTATTATACGGATTTATAAATCCTATGGCTGATGGACATTTGATTTATTGATGCTTTTTTTTGCTGCTGTTATCATGACTTGTGTCGCTTTGAATGCAGGGACACACACACTCATCGTTTTGAGTACGTGCTGTGGAAGCAGAACCGATGACAAGGCCAAGTGTGAAGCCGCTCTAGTAGGTGCTGCCAAACGGTGACCCCAGGCAGCTCTGGTGATTACATCTCTATCATCAGTGCATGGGGTTTCTGTTGCTCTGTATCCTAGCCAATGACTGGTATTTTCTGTCTTTTCCTATTTAACAATTATGTTCTTTTTTCATTCTTATCTCACATGGTATTAATTTCCTTTTTTCTGTTGGGGTTGGATACCTTTGTCTTATTGAGTGAGGTTAGTCTTTATGTATTCTGGGTACAAGTTCTTACTGAATATATATATACATACCACAGATTTCATCTCAAAGTTTGCATCTTGCCAGTGTACTCTTCCAAAGTCATATTTTAATGAACACTTATTTTAGTGTTGTCTAAAACATCCCTTTTTGCTCTTTTGTGCTAGGAATATTTTGTCCTGTAAGATCTCGAATATCCCACACTCATATAAATATACTGTCATCCTAGAAAAGCACTTCAGGAGCTTTAACACCTTATTTTTTGTATATCAGGGTAAAATCATTCTGCAGTTGATTTTGGTGTATTCTGTGAGGTAGGGATTAAGATTTATTTTTTTCCATATGACTGCACACGTGTTCTAGGAAAACTTAATGAAAAGCCATGCCTTCCAAACTATAGTTCCATCTTCATCAAAATTCAAGGGTATGAGCTGCTTCTGGATTTCCTTTTACATTATATTGGTCTATTCATCTAACATTTGTATCAATAACATACTGTCTTGGTCATTGCCTTGTTATCTGATACCAAAAATCATGTTTGTTTGTTAGTTTGTTTTTTAATTAAGGTAATAGCTTTATTTTCCTTCTCAAGGTTATTGGTGTTTTGCATTTCATATAAATGTCTGATTCTGCAGGAGAGAATTCTTTTGATTGCTAACTTTATGTAAGTTCTGAAAATTGTTCTTACCACACCTCTCCCTGTGGTTCGGTGGTAAATAATCTGCCTGCAATGCTGGAGATGCAGGAGACATGGGTTCCACCCCTGGGTCAGGAAGATCTTCTGGGGGGGAAAATGGCAACCCACTCCAGTACTCTTGCCTGGAGAATCCCACGGACAGGGGGGTCTGGCGGGCTACCGTCCACAAGGTCCCAAAGAGTCAGACAGGTCTGAGCACACATACGCAGCATCTCTTTTCAATAAAGAGCTCAGAAGTTTTTCTCGTCCATCTCTGTGAAGATTTACCTGCGCATGCACAGATTGATACTCTGTTGAAGACGCGTTAGGACTGTTATATAGATATCTAGATATCTTCCTCTGCATCACTCCTTACTTTCTGAAATTAGCCTCAAGTCTTATAGGCTCTCCGTCTTTGCAAATTCTGCTTTTTGTCCTCACATCTGTAAGGTTATCAGGCTCTGTTTGAGGTCCTCCTGCCTCTGCTGCATTTTGGAAATTGTTTCTTGGCAAAAATCCCTGACTGATGTTCTCTTTCTCCCAGGGATCAGTCAGAGTTGCCTGTTTGGTAACTGAAAAACAGCCTGAAAAATAGCTGTGTCTGTAATTTGCTCAGTTTCTAGATGCAAATGATAGAAGGCTAATTCTGGATCATCTTACTATCTCTGGGCCAAAAGTAGAACTCTAAATGTATTCATTTTGAACTCACAAATATATCCCATATATATTTATTACCAGTTGTCTAATCTAATTTGCCTTAAAACTACTACTTCATGTTCTTAGACGTACACTAGCAACCAACAGAGACACTTTTGCAGCTTTAGTAAATTTTTTCTGGGGCATAGTGAATCAAACTTACACAATAAATGGTAGAAATGTGATGTTTACATGTTCCAAGCACAAATACAAGTAAATTCCTCCTTGGTATTTGGACACGAAACAAGTTACGTATCAGTTCTTAGTTGTCCTGTAGGTAAAGGCAAATGCTTACTATCAAAATTTTTTTCCAGATAAACCTGTATCTTTCAACAAGACTAGCAACTATCTTGCAAGACTAGTAAATCAACTACTTTAGGTTGTAACTATAAAGGCTAAAAAGTACCCATATTAGAAATAAAACCCATATACCTAATAGAAACACAGTTCTACAATGTGTAATATTCCCTTGAAATAATCAGTTCAGCTAAATTGGAATTTCACTAGAATGCTAAAATTGGCTCTGAGCTTTCCTTGTATGTACTCAGTGAATTTTTGCATTTAAAACAAATTAAAAAGTCAAGTAATCTTTGAGATATTGGCTCATTGTCACCCTAATGTATTAATCATTTTCCATGTGCCTATAAATACAAATATTCAGTATTAAATTTAAAAAAATCTTTTCTTATTCAATTGTTGTGACTTTTTTCAATGAACATAATGATTTTCTAAAAAGAATACATTTAAATCTATCAAAGATATTTTTATGAGAAAAATCACTTTAAATGTATAGGCTGATCTAAGAGCTACTGTTTTAAGAAACAGGTATGTGGTAAGAACAGTGCAGTGCAATGCAGCATATGTGCATTCAGTCGTGTCCAACTCTTTTTGACCCCATGGACTGTAGCTCTCCAGGCTCCTCAGTTCATGGGATTTCCCAGGCAAGAATACTGGGGTGGATTGCCACTTTCTTTTCCAGGGATTGAACTCGTGTTTCTTGTGTCTCCTGATTGACAGGTGGATTCTTCACCACTGGCGCCACCTGGATGCTGAAGCAAACCAAGGGATCTGTATTTTGATGTTTTCTACGAGGTTGCATGGATATTTAACCACATTACAACCTAGTTTAGGAAAAATCTACATTCTTAAATAATATTGCAGAAGAGCTTAGTTAAAGAGTTGCAGTTCTTCAACTAGTCCTCAAAATACACATTACGCTTATATGTTGCAAGAACATTGCACCATTTTGAAAGAATCACAAAACAAAGTATCCATTTCATTTCGGTTTCGTCCAGAATAAAGATGAAGATTTCTTCCTGATCACTGAGCCTTTGCTATTTGCTTCTGACTTTGTTCTCCAACTGACAGCAAGTATAAATATGATGTCAGAGAGATGATAATAAGCATTTAATTAGAGCACTATCAAAGTACTAAAGTATTCAAGCGATGTGAATAGACATGTTTTTATCATCTTTTAGACGCTTGTGATCATTTGGGAAATTTTACTTGTCATTATTAAATAACTAATTGTAGAGAAAATGATTATCTAGAGACTGTTAATAAAAAAAATAGATTTGACTAAATGAGGTGATTCACTTGAAGATGATATTCATGTATGCCATATTTTTATATTCTCTCTGTATATCTACATTATGCATAGAAACAGAAAGTTAAATTTGACTCTGAAAATGTGTGTGTGTGTGTGTGTGTGTGTGTGTGGGCTTCCCAAATGGCTCAGTGGTAAAGAATCTGCCAACCAATGCAGGAGATGTGAGTTTGATCCTTGCACTGAGAAGAGCCCTTGGAGGAGGAAATGGCAATCCACTCCTGTCTTCTTGCCTGGAAGATCCCTTGGAAAGAGGAACCTGGCAGACTGCCGTCCATGGGGCTGCAAAAGACACGGGCACAAACATAGCAACCAAGCATAGCACATCGCGCGCGTGCGCGCACACACACACACACACACACACACACCTCTAATTTGTGCATGCATGCTAAGTCGCTTCAGTTGTGTCTGACTCTTTGTGACCTCATGGACTTTAGCCCTCAGGCTCCTTGTCTATGGGATTCTCCAGGCAAGAATACTGGAGTGGGTTGCCATTCCCTCCTCCAGGGGATCTTCCCAACGCAGGGATTGAACCCACATCTCTTATCTCTTCTGCATTAGCAGGCAGGTTCTTTATCACTAGCGCCACCTGGGAAGCTCAACTATAGTTTTGTAGGCCTCAATAGCACACAGAGATATTTGGGGCAACACTGGCATTTAACATAGAAGCTCAGAGCTCAAAAACGGCTCTGTGCAAACATTAATACAGCCTGCCATTTGCCAAGGGAAATACTTTTGTGAGGCTCATTAATTTAATTGGTCCCTGTCATCTAGTTAAAAAGGAAAGTGTAGAGCATTTTCTGACAAAACCAAAGATGGTTAAAAGTTCTATTAGGTTGTGCAGCACTTGAGAAATTTTGAAGTTAAGAAGGAAATTGAATTGAGAAAATGGAATTCAGCACTTGGTACCCCCTGCTCCTCTCCCTACCCCATCTTTTACTTGGTGAATCATACAGCTTTTAAATAAAACAGAACAGGAACTCTAAAATAGCAAATAGCTTTTGTTCAGTCACTAAGTCATGTCTGACTCTTCGTGACCCCATGAACACCTGCCAGGTGCTGGCTCAAACTCATGCCCATTGAGTCGGTGATGCCATCCAACCATCTCATCTTCTGCTGCCCCCTTCTCCTCCTGCCCTCAATCTTTCCCCTCATCAGGGTGTTTTCCAATGAGTCAGTTCTCCACATCAGGGGGCCAAAATATTGGCTCTTCAGTTTCATCATCAGCCCTTCCAATGGCTATTCAGGGTTGATTTCCTAACCTGCCAGCCTCCTCTGACCACGGAAATTCCCAGGTAACAATACTAGAGTGGATTGCCATTTCCTTCTCCAGGAGATCTTCCTGACCCAGGGACTGAAACTGTGTCTCCTGTTTGGCAGGTGGATTCTTTACCAAGGAGACACTTAAATATCCAGATCTTGCACTAATCATCTCTTCCTTTTAATTGCATGGAAGCATATCTTATCTCTTGACGTATAGCTGTCGTTTGTGCCAGTTCCACTGTGATGCTCCTCTAAGCTGCCTCCATCCTCCTAACTCAAGAATCAGCGCGGGGGCCTCCCTGCGTGTCTCTCAGTGGCTCTTCTGAGCATTCAGATGTCTTTTCTTCACTCACTGTGTTCTCAGCAGACGTTGTACCCTCCCCACCCTTACATGGAAGAGCCTAGGAACGCCTGATAAAACTTTTCCTCTGTTAAAGGCCTATGCATTTTGCCAACAGCTGTTTGGGTGCTTTGAGGAAGCTCACTTGGAGTTGGCCTCTGGGGAAGAAGGGCTATAGCAGCCGTTCCGGGCAGCATTTGCCACGCTAGCTGTAGGACGTGACCCTTCTTCCAAAGGAGCCTGAGGCCTTCTTACATCAGACTGACTCCTCGAGGTCCAGCCTCATGCCAGCGAGTCACACCCACCTCCAGTGCCCAGAGCGTTGTCTTCACTTTCCATTCTGTTACTGAATCATCTTTTTTTTTTTTCTAATCAAGATGTTCACCATTCCCTCCTAGAATAGGACTCAACAAACTACATCTGTGGCTCAAATCCTGATGCCATCTAAGTACAGCCCAAAAGCTAAGAATATTTTTCATACTTATTAACGGTTGCAAGAGATGGAAAGAATAATTCATTACACATGAAAATGATATAACACCCAAATGTCAAAGCCCATAAATATGGAAGCACAGCATTCTCACATGTTGACCTCGGCGGCTCCTCTCACGTCGTAATGGCAGAGTTGAGTAGTTTGGATAAAGACTACTTGGCCCACCAGTCCCTAAAATGACTCCTTTCTGGTCTTCTCAGTGAGTTTTACCAAACCCTACCCAGAGGACTTGGTGGTAAGGAATCTGCCTGACAAACAGGAAATGTGGGTTCATTCCCGGGTCTGGAAGATCCCAGGGATTTTCAGAAGATTCCTTCCAGAGAAGGAAATGGCAACCCACTCCAGTATTCTTGCCTGGGAAACCCCACGGACAGCGGAGCCTGGCGGGCTACAGTCCATGGGGTTGCAGAGAGTTGGGCACAACTTAGAAACTAAACAACTATAATGACTTCCTCACAGCTGCCTCTCTCCTCAGCCTCATCGAGTGGGTGATTATGGAGCCAAAAGAGTGATCCGGCAGCTAACATGCGTGCCCTACTGTGACAGGTTATTAAACTTTCAGGGCTTTGTTTTCTGCATCTGTAAAATGAAATCTTTGAACTAAACAGTGTCTTTCTTTTTTTTTCTTATTTTAAAAATTTTTATGAAGATGGTGCAATGAATATCCACCTTCAAAATTGTAAGTTTCAAGCTAGTTGCTGAATTCAAGTTGCAAACATGTGAAAAAGGATGGTTCTTTGTCAGTTAAGCAGGTCACACTGTGAAAATTTTGCTTTTGTCTCTAAAATGCCTCTTCCACCCGAACCACCAGGCACAGTTTCACATGAAACATTTCTCTTTGAGAGAACCAATATCCTGAAACTCAGCAAAGTGTAGACCAGACCCATACAGTCCACGAACTTTGTATCTCTCCAGGTGATTCCTGCTGTAGGGGGCGGGTGATGCCACTGAACCTTTCCACTTACACAATCTGTCTCAGATTCTATTAAGCCAAAGTTTGTATTCTCCTTTCTAAATCAGTTAAGACTTGTAGCAAAATTTGAACAACAACAACAACAAAAATTTGTGGTTAATTGCCCTCATTAAGGGAACACTGAGTGCTCCCTTGGGTCAATAGAGCATTTCCTTTGCATTATAAATGCTTTACCCCATAAGTGAAAATACAGGCTGTTCCACTGAAACATTCAAGCTGTACCCTATTCCAGGCTGCCTGTGGATTTTCAAAATGTGGTAAACAACTGCTCTGGTTGAAAAGATGTGTTGAGTCCTCTTTTCGTAGATTGTCATCTGCAAGTTGCTCCTTTGCTTTAAGAGGCCTTGTTGAAAATGTATCTGCATGGGTGGTTACCAAGTTCTTTTGGTCCAGCAAATGGTCTCTCTGCTGTAAATTACATTTTCTCAGAAACTGGCTGTGCCCTATTTTTTCTCTTGTTTGCAGTCAAAAGTCGGCTTAGTCGTTCAGCTCCTTCTTTGTTGATTAACTGTAGACATACAAGCTTGTCTTGAATTATTCAAACAGATCTCCCTGTTTTGTTATAAAACTTACCAGTGGTGGAAAAGTTCAATCCAACATCAAAGACCAACTGCTGACCCTTTAAGGATGCTCTCTCTGGGCTCCCTGCATTCACACTTCTCTGCAGGTGAGGCCGTACCTGCACCTTGAATTACTTGGGTGACTGGTCTGTTTACTCTCTAGGAAAACCAATTGCACCAGCCTCCTGGACAATCTCTCCCATGATTTTACAGTCCATGCAACCAAGGAAAATTTAGCTTTCTCTGCCGATTTAGGAACAGGTTACAGTTTTTCTTTTCTTACTCTATCCAAATTTTCTATCCAAACTGGGCAAGGCCATGGTTTTTATATCATGACTTGAACTGCTCTAAATAGAGACTCTTTACTTGGTTAAATATCAAATGTGAGATAAGTGTTGGTTGTCTCCATGCTTTTCTGCCAGGCATTATTTTGAGGAACTGTTATGCTTGATAGCCATTATAAGGAATGTTAGAGGATGGGGAATGTGTCTCTCTGCTGTCAGTTAAGACAGAATGGCTTTGGATGGCCAGACATCTGCTTGCTGCTGTTCTTAGTTTTCTTTCAATTTCCGGGCATTTCCTTAGAATGGTTCTGTCAAATCCCTAAGAAGAATACTGAAGTAGGTAGCCGCTCCCTTCTCCAGGGGATCTTCCCAACTCAGAGATCAAGCTTGAGTCTCCTTCATTGTAGGTAGATTCTTTACCGTCTGAGCCACGAGAGGAGCCTCTTCACTTCATTATGCTTGATAACTATTGCAAGGAATGTAAGAACACAGGCAAGCTTCCTCTCTACTAATAAGACAGAAGGGCTTTGAATGGCCAGACATCAGCTTGGTGCTGTTCTTAAACTTTTCTTTCAATTTCCTGGAATTTCCTTAGAATGTTTCTGTCAAATCCTTAAGAAATGCTTTCTTAGTCATAGATAGAACTCATCTGTAAACAAAACCCAGAAAGAATTGATGAAGAATTCATTTCCCATCTGCTGTATAAATTTAGGACTTTAAATACTTGATACAGAGAATTCAGTTTTCTGTGGACCACTAGGCACTCAAATGGTGTGATAAGGAGTCTGGACAAAAAGCTAGATTTCTAATTTCTCCCAGTAATGATGCTTCAACTGAACACTACTTGTGCATCCTCACTGCTCTCTCTTCAAATTCATCATGTTGTGGTTATGGACATGGAATGGAATTGATGTGAAAATAGTGGAGGAAATTTACTTGAAGCTGTTCTTGAAATTCTATCTTCCAAGCAGTCTGAGACTATGTAGCCAACAAAATCACTTAAAACTGTGCTC